TTGAAGGCCCAGCAAGCCCCGAGAGCCTTGCTCTCCTTGCCACAGCGGCGACCTCCATTGTTACAGCAGTGATGGATGGTGGATTGAGCATGTCTTCTGGTGATGGCATGTGCTCAGAATCACGGTCAGGGTCTGCTTCAAGGTCTTTTTCCTCCTCCTCCTCCGACGAAGACTGATCCTCCCACACTGAATGGTCGAAAAGGTGGAGGGATTTGAGAGAAGCGGGCGTAAGTCGGTACATAGCCGAGGAATGCATGCGCAGCTCAGTCCACTGGGTCGTGGGACCAAAATTTCAGCAGGTTGGCAAATCTGACTTGGGACCTAAGTGGTTGAGCAGCGTCCCACTGATAACCCTTTGCAAAGATAAAACAAATGTTAGTAATGATGAGGAAAGGATGCAGAACAAATCCCAAAATATAAGCAAGACACACCTTTATCCCTCGACATCTTGGGGGAGTACAGTCCATCATACTCGGGCCCATCTCCTTTTTCTCAACTTCCGTCGAGTATGATTAGATCGTCCATATACCCCTTGTTTGAGTCGGGCATGTGGGTCACCAAATACATCAAGGTGTCTTGGGCTTGGAGGTAGTACCTGCCCCTACTACTAATCTTAAATTGTAGCAAAACAAGATCTCATTTACCCCTAGGTTAACCCTAAGCCGAGCATTGAGAGGAACCACACCTATCACTATCCTAAAGAAGTTGACACCATATTGGGGGGGGGGGAAATCTCAATTGCCTCAACATTCTAAGTACAAAGGGAAAGGTCAACCCCCCTTCAATGATGGCCTTTGTCTAGAAAGGCATCATCTCAACACATCCTAGGTCCTTTCTATGATAAAGGGGGTTGAAGGGAAAAGTGAAAACACGCTCCAGAATTCGGTATCTGGCTCTAAAGGCATCTATGTTTTCCTCATTGACCTCAGTTTTCCTTGGTCTGCGGTTGGCCCTAGCCTTGGCAGGTGCTCTCTTGACTGTTCTACGGGTTCTAGCCATTGATGGGTTCTAAAGAGAAGAAATGTAGAAGAAGTGAGAAAGAAACTTGAAAGGAAGTACTTACAGGAAGAGGATCTTCAGGAAGGGAACTCGAAAGAGAACAAAGGAGTGCTCGGGAGGTGGAAGAGGAACTCTCGGGGGCTGATTGCTGAAGATAAAGACGATTTGCAAAAGTTCTGAAAAGGCTCAAGCATCTCTTATTTATACCCTACTACAAGGGGCAGGAATCGAAAAGCAAGTCATCATTAGGATATTTGAAAAGGGTGGCGCCAAACGTGCAAAAAATTGCCGTTATTGATGAGGCATATTCGATAAGCCTTGAGTCTCCTTGCGCCACTTGTCTCACGCCGCAAAAAAGAATGGAGGCTGGGGGACAGTTGGCGGAACTTAAGGCGGCTCAGCAGCCCCCGAATCGACACGTGTAAAATTGTAGCCGTTGAGAAGCTCAAAGGGTGCTGAGGAGCTGAGCTGAGAGGTAACGACCGTAGGAGCCGAGTGCTCGAATTGACACCCGCATTTAATACGACTTGACTATTCATTTATGGTGAAGCGAGTGATGGAGATAGTGCCATTAATGGGGCCCTGCAGTCTCAAACCCTAGGCCTGCGGTCATGATGACTAGACATTAATGGCTTATACGCCGAGTGTATCTCCTCAGTACGCCCCAAGATACTGTTCCCCCCGAGCATTAAAATCCAGAAGTAGGTGTCAGGTGCCAATTATAAACAGTTGAGTGCTCGGGAATAGCCATAGGTGCTCAGCTTGTCCCCGAGCACTTGTTCTGTCATCCTTGCATTAAATGACTGAAGATATTGGGAGATCTTCTCGGGTAAAGGTGTCAGGCATTGAATATTCAGATGAAACTTAAAGTCTTTGAACTCATTGCTAATTCAGGTATAAATACTTCTCCGAAAAATGAACAAAGGTATGCAACATTAAACCATAAATATCATTTGCATTGAGCTTGAGCTTGAGCCTCTAATCTTATACTGACTTAAATTTTTGAGGGGACAAGTCAGGTGTTCACCTGACCCCATTTTTTCTGACCTTGTGGCTGTTGCAGATCCACCAAGCTAAAAGTCGCTATCTCAAACTATTGCAAAAATTTTCCCGTGCGATTAATTTGATGTAATGTTATGTTCATATAATTGTGCTCCAAAATAAGTAGGTGTACATGAAAATAAAACAAGAAAATAAGAAACAAGCTCGCCTTCTTTTTTAAGGTAAGATAATACCCATTTTGTAGTGTATCAAAATTCATTCATAAGAATTAATTTTAGTTTGAATGATTTATAACTATTAATTATAAAAATAAAAAAATAGAATAAAATTAAAAAGTGAAGTTGTTCGGATCTTTTCTATCATTTTTTTTGGTTAAGATAAAGTTTAAAATTTGGTTTTGAAATGATTAGGATGGCCAAAACATTTCTATTTCCATAGTGGGCGGAACGAATTATTAATTGAATTAAAATTATAATATTTAAATTATTTTGGTATTTTTTTATTCATATTTAGATGTATAATATAAAACAAGACAGGTTTCAATAAACTCATCCACAACCTCAAATAGATTAATCTAACGACTACCAAAATCTCTCTCAAAATTATTCACATTATATCATGCCTTCAGATACGGATTACCCCTAGTTTTAAGAATATTTCGAGATATTTTAATATATTTAGACCGATATTTTAAAAATAAAAATTTTAAAATTTTAATTCTTTTTTGTAGCTTACTTTTAAAATATTTGTATTTTATCATGGCGGAAATAATCCATCAAAATAAAATTTTGATGATTGATCCGACCTTTTGCTCTTTTTCTATCGTCAAGTGACCAGAAAGAAGCAAAAACTGTTAGTGTGTGTTTATTAAGTGGGCCCACGCAATTAAGACGCCAGAGAGGTGAAACTTCTTCCTTCTTCTACCATTTTTCGCAGAGAAAGAGACAGAGGCCGAGAGGAGGTTCCTTGAGTCCCAAGCGATCGCGGAATTCGGTTTAGGGTTTCAGAACTGTCGATCGATTTCTCAGCGACTCTTTTTTCTATTCTCCTTGTAAGTTTCGATCACACACACACACACACACACACACTCGCACATATATACCGACGCATACATATATATGTGTGATCAGATATTTAATTGTATATGCTTACATTACATACTCGTACATTTCTCTCTCTGAATCTATATTTTTCGCTCTCTACGAGTGTGTATTGATTTTCTTGATTTTATGAAACTGTAAGTTACTTGTTATGACTTAATTACACTAATAATGACAATTACAATGACATCCGCATTAGCAGATTAATGACATGGTTGATCATTTTCTGTAGTTTTTTTTTTCAAGAATGGGTTTGATTTTTTTTTTTTTCAATTTCTACGAATTTGCGTCTCTGAAATCATCTGTAATCTGGATGACATGGCTGAACTTTCTCAGAGGCACGAGATATTCAAGAATGAGCAATGCTACGTGGACTTAAAAATTAGATTTGATAATCTTAACCATTGATTTCACTGTCCACTGCCTATTCAATGATTGAGATTATCAAGTCTAATTTTTAAGTCTAGTTTTTAAGTCCATCTAACATTACTCTTTAAGAATTATCTATCTGAAGTTGATGTATGCATCTATCTCAGTTTTCAATTTTGACCTAGTAGCGGTGTCTCTTGAATTAATGGTCGATGATTGAATTGACCAAAATTGACAAGATTTCCGATTGACAGGATCCATATACAAATTAATCTCGAGGAAGTATGGTAATGGAGACCCTTGATTGCTTTCTTGATCATGCATGATATACAAAAAAGAAGTTGGATTGTTAGCTACTGAAATAAATTTTGTTGCTATCTTCTGTCATTCCAAATTGTGTCATTATCATAGGTCATGAAAGGACATAGCAGAGCGAATGTTCTGTTTTGTTCTTGTAGAATGTAATGTGCCATGCCCATCTTCTTGATCCAATCATGTCTGAGAGTTAATAAAGTTGTATTTTGAGAACGTTACTAGATGTTGAAAGTGTCTTCAGAAAAATGCTGAGAATTGGCTATTACACTGCTTTACCGGCAGGACAAATGGAGCCTTAGGTTCAGAAACCCATTTCGTACTGGGTGTCCTTTCGATATGTTTTATGGCAATCCTGGAATACATGCAAAAACTGGTATTTATTGGTAAATCTGATGCGTAAGTGCAGAGGTTGCTTTAGTTTTTCATTGGTAACATGGAGAGTGGTTGTAAGTACACATATGGAAGTAGTTTTGAGCAGTAAAATTAGTAAGACTAGTATAAATACTTGAGAACTTCTACTTTGGCACCCAACCTAGATTTGGCGTGGCTATTTTCTAGAAGGATTACTGTTTCAGTTTGTGATTACTCAAGCCTTTTGGTCTAGGAAAATTTTATTTTTAATATTGCATGGCAGTTTTATTGATTTCGGATATGTGCTTGCTCCTAGCTTACAATGCTAACCCATTTTCATCTTTTCATCAAACCGAGTGAACTGTGGATTTGGAGTTTTAATGTGTAGAGCTTGGATCCGGGTAATTAACTCTGGATACCAGAAATATTTAAGTCTACATATGCCTATGTAAAACTGTCTTTTTTCCTTTTTTCTACAATGAAAAGTCTGTTGGAGATATTTTATGTTTGGTAAAGTCATTGATTAGTTTTAGGTTTATAATCTCATAGGCGCATTGAAAATTAGTAGTCAACTAAGCTAACATATCATTATTAAGTACCTGTGAACTCAATGTTGGACTATGTTAAATTTCTGTACTCATTACTTTGAATTCTTGATTATATAATCATTGTTATTAGCTCTGGAAGATGCTAATTAGAGGAAGCCCCACACTGTATATTGAAACTGTATAGTTAGGCTTACTACCTTTGGGGTGCTGATTCATGTTTACAGTATTTTCATAATGGATATTATCTTCTTATACTGTTCCTCAATCTTTTTTTTTTTTATCTCTTTTAATAGCAAACTCTTCGTGAACTGTAGCAATGGAGCCAAGAAAATCCACTTTGAATCCACATGCAGCATCATACGTACCGCTCTCGAAAAGAGGAGCAGCTGATGGAAACAAAGATTATAAGTTGTCAACAATAGATTCTAAAGTTGGCAATGATGCTGTGTGGCTGGGACCTCATTCTGAGGGTATGAAACAAAGCCGGCAACAGATTACTGAGGACTCTAAACTGAAAGACCAACCTGTTCAAGGATTTTATGGTTCATCGTCACAAAACCCAAGTTGGGTGACAGAAAAGAAGACCGTGGATGAGGAATTTGACTTGGATTTGGCGTGTCTTGAGATGTCTTTTCCTGGTGTATCTGATAAGTCCATTCTTGATGTCTACTTAGCAAACAATGCTGACTTCGAAGCCACAATTGACATGCTGAATGAACTTGAGGTAATACTTATAATCTGTTAACTTTTGAGGCATAAAATGTGTTTCATATCTTATTGGTCTTATTCTGTGTTCACTTGTTTTTGGTTTCTTTGGGCAGTGCCTCCTCGCTGGTGGTTTTTTTTACTCGTTCTGATGCCATAGATAGTTGTGATTATGAAGCATTTTGCTCTTTTATATCTGAAAAGTGAAGTATTTGAATTTAAGGGAACATGTTAAAAAAAAAAATTATTTCTTCATCTTCATATTATCATTTTTGGTGAGAAGCACTGCAGAAATTTCATTTATTCTAGTCAGTTCAACCTGTGTGTGTGTGATGTGTGTGTCTGCATGTCTGAATCTGTCTGCCTTCCATTGGGATTATATGTTCCTTAAGGTACTGGAATAAAATGAGAAGGCATGCACCTTTCATGCTCGGATTAGTTGGCTATGATTGCTAACTGAATCAATTTGGAATGCCTGGCCTTTTTTGTTAAAGGAAGCAGAGTGGGATTTTACTGGCTGGTTCTTCTTGCTCAGTTCTTTTCTGTATGGTTCAAACTATCTGGTGCATGCTGTTTTATCATCCATCTCCAATGCACATATATTATTGCTTCTAGAATTTTCCTCTTGTTTTTGATGTCTATGTTTTATTCCCTTTTGATATCGGAGACAGTTGATCATTTGCAAATTTGCACTTGATTACATTTTGTTCATCCTATTTATATTACAGAAGGTTGTCGTATTTTAACATTGAGTATTATAGTCGATAGATTTTTGAGGTGGTAATGGAGGAATGCATGTGAATTGATTGAAGCAAATTTCTAGGAATAGTGGTTGATTTCGATATGCAGTTGCACAGTCATCATTGGTCCAATTCGTTATACTGTTTGGTTAGGCATGCAATTTCTATTCTGCCCAAATCATTTTTCTTTTTATTGTCATTTTTGTTTACTGGATTTTTCTAGCTTTCAAATTTCTTTATTTTTGGGGATATGGAACTACCAGCCCATTGTACAGAAGTATTAAGATTGCCCAACTTTTCCATCTGGACTTAATATATTTTTTGCTTGGGCGTGCTGTTAAAAATTGAAATTTTCACTAGTTTCTACTTTTTGGAATATAAAGGGGTGTTTGGATGCATTATTGTTTTTAGAAGTGCAGAATTTTATTCTAGTAACATCAATGAGATCAATAACTTTGGAGGCTAGCCACTTTTCTAAGTCACAATGTTTATTCTACCTAAAGGTAGAAGGAGGTTAGCTCCCATGCAAACATCTAACTGACTGGAATCCCCATTAGCTTTTTTGCTGTTTTTTCTCTTCCTCCTTCTCCTCCTCCAGCAACTACCCTTGTTGTAATTTCCTAGTTTTATATATAGATTAAGCAAGAATACAGCAGCACTTGACCTCTTGACAGATTTCTTAATTTGTTCATTATCTCATCTTAAAATGTATTTTTAACCGTTCTACAGCTCTACACTTGGGATTCTTCCGAAAAGCATCCGCACACATTGGACATTGGTGACGTGTCAGACTACTGGTATTCTAGTGATCATGCTACTCAGGAACAGAAGCAGGTGGCTGCTGAGGTTGGTGTTTCTTCATCAGGCGTGGCTGGTGACGGTGCTGTTTCTTCATCAGGCTCCTCCGCCCCAGCCCCTGTCACCTAATTGAGTCAGCAAAAATCAAGGTCAATAACTATCTGTAGTCTTTTCAAATTCTGGGGATATCAATTGTGAATTTGGGACTCAGATTTTCATCCAAAAGTAGGATCTATACAGTTTTTCCGTTCTGGTTGTACATGTCAAAGCTGCTTATACTTAAAATGTCTGTGAGTGTTGTGTTCATGATCTTTGGTTGATAGACCAACAGCCAACCAAATTGTGCTGCCATTTTGCAGATACAAGTTTTCTAAAGAGAAAATGATCTTGAATTGTTAAATGGTTTTTTTTTTTTTTTTTATCGGTCGATTATGCAGTGGTTGTTTTGATCATATTGATTTTTAATCACACTCGAGTAGGGTTCTGGGATATGATTTAGCCATTTTAAGTCGATATGTAACGCACAGTAGAAATAAATAAGAGTTGATGTGTGGTGGAAGAGTGCAAGCCGTCGTTCTTTTCTAAAAGTAAATGATGTATCATCTGATACTGTTTTTTTTGTACATATTTTAGAATTATATTAATTTAAATGATATTCACCTTCTTATAAAAAGGACTAATATTTACCATTTCAAAGCGAAACTTGATTGAAATCAGTCTCTATCTTGTTAAACAATTGATTTTTGAGGAAAAAATAAAGCACACTTGTGGATTTAGGTGTTTCTTCATTTACGCTTTCTTTTAAATACTATTTGCATCCGATCATGTTTTATCAAGCTATATTTTTCTAACTTATTGAAAGAGTTAAAAGGCAATTATACAATTTTTTTTAAAAAATTGGGTGCAATTTATTAAATGACGGAGGTATTATCTTTAATCAGTAGTGCAAATATAGAACAACTAGCGATACCCGGCAAGTGAAATTACTATATACTAAGCTACTATGATACTATGTGTATATTGGAGTTTGTATATAGTTAGAGTGTGTATATAATAAGTGTTTGTATATATATATATAATGAGTGTGCGTGGTGGAGTGTTTGTGTTGAATTTGTAGAATTTAAGGGAAAAAGTGTGATGAGTGTATGAAATTTTGATAGAAAAATATACCCACCATAAGTTCAAAAACTTAACTATTTTGTTATAGGGTAAATTATACACGGATCTCTTGAGGTTTGTCACTTAATTAGACTTACCCCTTTGAAAGAAGAAATTACACACACACCCCTTCAAGTTTGTGCGTGTATCAATTAAACTCATTGCCGTGTGTATCCATTCTAAAACATGGCATATTCAGACTCCACATTGCCACTAGGAGGGATAGTTTCATTTTTCTTGCTACTATCTCCATGCGTCAAACCTTTGGTACCACTCATTGAAGACTCATCCTTGCTCATCATAGCCTCTACACCTTTCATTCCACTCTTGCCAAGGAGCTGAGATGCCCTTCTTGAACCAAACATTTGTGATAAATTTTCACTAATAGATGTCACCTGAGATGCATTTAGAAAAAGGGTATTTAATTATTTATCAATAAATATAGTTTCAAGTATTTAAGTAATTAACTGGTGTTACCTGAGATGCATCATTGCGATGAGCATCAGTTGCAGGTTGAGAAGAAACCTGAGAACCTCCTCCCTCTCCATTGTGAGCATTGTTAACCCAACTAGTTGCAACCTGATAACCTCCTCCCTGCCCATTATTTGCACCATTAGTAGCAACTTGAGATGCTCCTCCCTATTGTACGCACCCTTCTCCACGATGTAGGCTTCACTATCAAATTTCTTCACTACCAACAACAAATTCAGATATCAGTGGTAACGGATGAGGATGAACTCATGTCATGTTTCACTTTCAGTCAATGAACTCATGTCATATTTCACTCTCAGTGGATGAATTTAGAGGTATAAAATGCTTCACTCTCTATTTTGTTCACAGTGATGAACTCATGATCTTCAGATGAGGATGAAAATCTGAGAGAGAGAAGATGAAGAGCGGGATAGTAAGGGCTCTGCCGCCTTTTGTTATGTGATGTGGAGGGACTCTTAAGGGCATTTTAGTAAAGGCATCAAATCAAGAAAATTCTTGGGCCTTTTTGACATTTGCCACTTTTCATTTGCTCCGTTAGCAGAACAGCACGTCAATGACATGGGGTCTATGTGTAATTTTGTATATTTGAGGAGATTTATCTGAGAAATCTCAAAAAATTCGAATGTAATTTATCCTTTATTATATATATGGTTTTACTGGATTATAGGGTCAGTGGTGTACCACTAACTTGCTGAAAAGAAAAAGAGTTAGGGCCACAAAATAAATTTTTAAAATCAAGGGTCAATGTATTAAATTGAAGAGAGGGAACTAGTGCCCACCACCCTTAAACGTAACTTGTCACTGGATACAAACTCAATGCAATTTAAGAAAGCCTTAATTTCAATTATTGATGCTCGGTTACATGAATCATATTTTTATCCTAACTTTTAAAGCTAGAGTTAAAACTTAGGATCATGATTTTTTTTAATTAATTATAACTTTACATTTAAAATATATAACTTGATTATTAAAAATAATTCCTTTCGATAAATTCCAAAAAAAAAAAAAAAAACCTGTGTAATAGACTACCCATCCCATCCCGTGATATAAAAAAATTAAAAAATTAAAAAAAAAAGGGAAAGGAAAAGGAAGTGGAAAAGAAATATAGAGGACCACATTTTTTTGTTGTAAGGGGAAAACGGAAGGCCTCTCTACCTTCCATTAAACGCGGGGGTTCTCTCTCTCCTCCCAAGTCCTAATCATTCAGACACAAAAAGATTCCTTGTCTGATCATTCCGAAGAAATATTGTGTTTTAATGTTGTTTTGTACTATTTTAAATTAGATTTTGGAGTTGCCAGTTTTAGAGACAGACATTTTTTGGATTCTGGGTTCTGTTAATGTGGGAGAGAGAGAGTTGCATTGCATGGATGATCTGAAGACCCATTTACAGTCTTGATCAGGAGAGATCGTATAGTTTAACGTATATAATTGGGAGGAGAGAGAATGGAGGTGGATTATTATAATGTACTGAAGGTGGAGAGGAGCGCGACGGACGATGATCTGAAGAAATCATACAGAAGATTGGCAATGAAATGGCACCCAGACAAGAACCCCAACAACAAGAAAGAAGCCGAAGCCAAATTCAAGCAAATCTCTGAAGCCTACGATGTATGCAATTGCACCCCCCCCCCCCCCCCCCTCTCTCTCCCTCCCTATCTATGAGATGAAACCTTAATTAATGCACACACATTTCATGATATTTCTGGAATCGATGGTAATAGTAGTTGGTGATGCACAAAAATGGTTTTGCACACCACCTGTCAAGTATAGATAATAAATGCAATAAAATCAACGAAGGAATTAAAAGAAGACACAATCTATAGTGGTTCGGTCAATTCGACCTACGTCCACTCTTCAATGGCTTCAGTCGCCGGGTATTTTATTGATTCAAAGGTATGGAGAACGGAGATACAAGCTTTGAGAGGGGGAATGAAGAATCAAAGAAAAACAATAATCTCCGGTAGTCGGTTCGTCTTCTTGGAAGTCTCTGATGGAGCATGTCCTTTTCTCTCTTAGATTAGAGCCATTTTATAGTAGATAAGAGATCATTCTTGTGGAGATCGTAACATATCTTAAAGGCTTCTTTATCGCAGCTTAGAGATTATCTTCGGTGGAGATCACGACTTATCCTCAACGGAAGGAAGAGTTTGGGGAACTCTTGAAGGAAACGTGGTCAAAGATTGGACCGTTGATAAGCTTCTCGTGCTCTCTTCTTGGTGACGTGCTAAGCAAGAAGTCCAACCGTGCTTTCCTCTTGGTGACGTGCTAAGCAAGAAGTCCAACCGTGCTCTCCTCTTGGTGACGTGCTAAGCAAGAAGTCCAACCGGCCTTGGGCTCCCTAAGGCGGTGTAGATAAACTTTCCGTGCTCTCCTCTTGGTGACGTGCTAAGCAAAAAGTCTAGCCGGTCTTAGTCTGTCTTGGACTTGGTGGGTTCACGATGAGGTTGGGCTCCTCAACCGGGGTTGGGCTTTAATACATAAATTGGACTACTTGGGCTTAACCCATCATTTGCCCCCCCCAATGCCCCATGTCCAAGGAGACTTGGAGAAGGAGGCATTGATTTCTTTTTTTTTTTTTTTTTTTTTTAGGTTTCTTCCATTTTATTTTAAAGAAGGAGTGGTGGAGGTTGAAGAAAGGGAGACGGCTGGGCGCGCGATTGGGCAGCGCAGGCGCGCTGGGCGCGCGGCTGGGCTGGGCAGCGCGCGCGCACAGCTGGGCGGCGCAGGCGCTGGGCGCGCGGGCGCTGGGCGCGCAGGCGCGCGCAGGCGCTGGGCGCTGGGCGCTGGGCGCGCAGGCACGCAGGCGCGCGCGCAGCTGGGCAGCGCAGGCGCTGGGGGCCTGGGCGGCTTCCTAGGCTCTGCTCCTCACATCCTGGATAGCTCAGGCGCACTGGGCAGCTGCCTGGGCGCTGGCCTTGCTGTCCTGGACAGCCCAGGTGCGCTGGGCGGCTTTGGAACGCTAGGCAGCAACATTTTTTCATCAAGGGGCGCAGTCCGAGGTTCGTCAGGGAGAGCTAGGCAGTGGCCTGGGAGCACAGGCTGATCCGATTCTCACTCGAGGCGCTGATTTGGGCCCCTTAGGTGCTGATTTTTGCGCCGAAAATTCTGCTTTGCGCAATTTTGAAGGGCCAGACACCCTTCAAGCTACTGGGCAACTTTGTTTTGACGAGCAACAGCAGTCAGGCACATTTCTAGGCGTTGGGCTAGACATTGCAAGTAGTAAGGAACCCTTGGGTGCTGCTCTTGATGATCAAGCCCTTCTCCAGGTGCTGGGCGCTTTGGGTGAGCCTGGGGCTGCCTCGGGAGAACCTACTTGTGATGACAAAAATAATGTTATTCCAAACATTAAAATATCTCACATAATTACCTGGAGAGAGAGAGAAATAGGCTGCTTGCGCGAGAGCAAAGACAGAGTTGGAGAACTGCTCGTGAGAGAGCTACACTTTTTGAGACCTAGCTTTTGGCTACCCATGAGGGAGTCTTTAAGCTTGAGGTATAAGCTTCCTGTTTGAGAACAGTGCAGAGACCAAGCTTTTTTGGTGACCCGTGAGAGAGCCGCTAAGCTGGAGATAGGCTGCCTGTTTGAAAACAGTGCAGAGGCCAAGTTTTTTGGCGATCCGTGAGAGAACCGCTAAACTGGAGATAGACTGCCTGTTTGAGAACAGTGCAGAGGCCAAGTTTTTTGGCGACCCGTGAGAGAGCCGCTAAACTGGAGATAGGCTGTCTGTTTGAGAACAGTACAGAAGCTAAGTTTTTTTTTTTTTTTTTTTTTTTTTTTTTTTTGGCGGCCCTTGAGAGAACCGCTAAACTGGAGATAGGCTGCCTGTTTGAAAACAGTGCAGAGGCCAAGTTTTTTGGCGATCCGTGAGAGAATCGCTAAATTGGAGATAGACTGCCTGTTTGAGAACAGTGCAGAGGCCAAGTTTTTTGGCGACCCGTGAGAGAGCCGCTAAACTGGAGATAGGCTGCCTGTTTGAGAACAGTACAGAGGCTAAGTTTTTTTTTTTTTTTTTTTTTTTTTTGTTTCGGCGGCCCTTGAGAGAGCCGTTAAGCTGGAGATAGGCTGCCTGTTTGAGAACAGTGCAGAGGCAGGTCAAGTTTCTGGTGATCTGTGAGATGATCCACCTTGCCTAAACTTGTTGATTTCCTCAGCATTCATATATCTTTGAGCTTTTGTGAATAGTTCTGGCATACTCTTCGGTGGGCGCTTCAGAACTGAGAAAAGGAAACTTGATGAACGGAGGCCACCCAAGAAGGCGGTCATCGTCACCTTGTCGTCGGGTTCATCAACTTGGAGTACCTCCTCGTTAAAACGAGTGAGGTAACTCCTCAGGCTCTCCTCGCGGTCCTGCTTTATACTAAGCAGGTGCGTAACTGGCTTCTGGTGGCGACGCCCTCCTATGAAGTGTGAGACGAATGATCTGCTAAGCTCGGCAAAAGAGGTAATAGAGGCGGGAGAGAGCTTAGCAAACCACTGTCGGGCAGACCCCTTTAATGTGGTTGGGAATGCCCTGTACATGATTTCGTCTGGTACGTTGTGCAATTGCATCAAGATCTTGTAAGTGTCGAGGTGGTCCAGTGGATCCTTTGTTCCATCAAAGGTCTCCACGGATGGCATTTTGAACTTCTGAGGGAGGGGGTAGTTTGCTACATCAGGTTTGAAAGGGGTATCAGTACGCCTTACCAGGTGGTCAACAGTCTCGGGTCCTTGTGCCTTTATGGCATTGAAGACATCACCGAGTTGATTCTGTACCTCCTTTATCTTCTCGTCCCAATGATTGGGGGCTCTTCTGGAATGATCATGGAAGTGGCTTCCATGCCCCATGCTTTGATTTTCACCCTCATCCTCCTGGAGATAAGGGTCCTCTCCCCGGAAAACAAGGGGAGGGGGAGGTGCAGCTCCCTCATGTTGGGCTTTCCGAAGTGGGGTGCCCAATGGGGCACCCGGGCGTGGAACAACAGGGCGTGGTGCTTCTTGATGTCCAGGATGTGGAGCTCCTTGGGGTGCTCTATGTTGTGCACCTCCGTGGGGCCCTCCATGTTGTGCACCTCCATGTGGTGCTCCACCTTGGGGTCCTCCATGTTGTGCACCTCCGTGTGGTGCTCCACCTTGGGGTCCTCCATGTTGTGCACCTCCGTGTGGTGCCCCTCCTTGTCCAGCAAGTATGAGTTGTAGTAACTGTTGGTTTTGAGCAACCAGTTGCTGCATGGTCTCCAATATTTGTTGGGGATTCGGGGCTAGAGTATCCGGAACAGGGTTGATAGGCGGGGGAGCAACCTCTTCCTCTCGTGGAGGATTGTCTTCGTGTTGGTTCATGGATCGAGTAGTGATCGCCATTAGTTAATGGACGTAATGTTCAGGAGTGAGAATTTTGTCGTTTCCCACAGACGGCGCCAAACTGATGATGCACAAAAATGGTTTTGCACACCACCTGTCAAGTATAGATAATAAATGCAATAAAATCAACGAAGGAATTAAAAGAAGACACAATCTATAGTGGTTCGGTCAATTCGACCTACGTCCACTCTTCAATGGCTTCAGTCGCCGGGTATTTTATTGATTCAAAGGTATGGAGAACGGAGATACAAGCTTTGAGAGGGGGAATGAAGAATCAAAGAAAAACAATAATCTCCGGTAGTCGGTTCGTCTTCTTGAAGTCTCTGATGGAGCATGTCCTTTTCTCTCTTAGATTAGAGCCATTTTATAGTAGATAAGAGATCATTCTTGTGGAGATCGTAACATATCTTAAAGGCTTCTTTATCGCAGCTTAGAGATTATCTTCGGTGGAGATCACGACTTATCCTCAACGGAAGGAAGAGTTTGGGGAACTCTTGAAGGAAACGTGGTCAAAGATTGGACCGTTGATAAGCTTCTCGTGCTCTCTTCTTGGTGACGTGCTAAGCAAGAAGTCCAACCGTGCTTTCCTCTTGGTGACGTGCTAAGCAAGAAGTCCAACCGTGCTCTCCTCTTGGTGACGTGCTAAGCAAGAAGTCCAACCGGCCTTGGGCTCCCTAAGGCGGTGTAGATAAACTTTCCGTGCTCTCCTCTTGGTGACGTGCTAAGCAAGAAGTCTAGCCGGTCTTAGTCTGTCTTGGACTTGGTGGGTTCACGATGAGGTTGGGCTCCTCAACCGGGGTTGGGCTTTAATACATAAATTGGACTACTTGGGCTTAACCCATCAGTAGTTATTGCCTGTGCTTTATCTATACTCCGCGAAAGATTGCTCTCCTTTTTATCCTTCCTAAGCTCGTCCCCCAGCTACAATCCACAAGAACAAAGGAAAGATATACTTGTTGTCTTTGTGCTCATTTGGACGGGACTATACGCCTTGATTTTGGCTGACTCGCAGAGCCGTCTTTGCACAGGCGAGTATCATACCCTTCTAAGGCGCATCCCTTTTCTTGCTTACAAAAAAAGAAAGCCGTTTTTGGCACATTTAGACACTTGTACTATTCGAGCTGTCTGACCCCACAACTCGCATTTTACTTTAGATTTCAAGCACAGAGTATTCAAATTAATAAGCAATAAATATATTTACATTTATATCTAAAATCAAATCACAAACATATAGAATAGATAAAAAAAATTAAGTTTTGTAGTGGTGGTAAGAGATGGTGCGCGGCAGTGTTGGTGGTAGGAGACGATGATGGTTGTGGTGAGTGGTAATGACTGTGGTGGCGACAAGGGCTACGATGATGGCGGCGGTGGTTGTGGCGGAGGTGGTGGTGGTGGCGGTCGTAGTGGTGGCGGCGATGGTGGCAGTGGTGGTGGTAGTGGAGTGATTTTAAATACTATTTTTTTAAATAAATATTTATGAAAAATTATTTATAAAAGTACTTTTAAAAAATCACTCCAAACACACACTCGGGAGTCTATTTTTTCTATTAAATTTAGGGTGTTAATATTGACCGTTAAATTAATTTTAAAGTAAAATTTAAAACGATCTTAACCGCGAATAACAAAAGTCATTTTGTTTATTTTTTAGATTTGAATTGTAAGCCCGTTTTATTATATATATATATATCAACCGAGGAGGAATTGAGTTGCAATCTGTAAGGAAAAAGAAAGAAGGAAGGAAGCACTGAATGCCTTGTGTGCCGCACTATTACAAGTTTTAGGACACAAATTAGAGCTAATCTGTCATCTTAACCATGCAATTCGGATATCCTCCAATGGCGGCTTCATCCTCCCTCGGTGGGATCATCTTCATTGGAGCTTAGTTGAATCACCTAGCATCTCTTATTGCTTCAGCTTCTGAAGACTAAAAAATATCCTTTTTGAGGATCGTCTTCCTGGTTTGGACAACTGGCATGTGGAATTCCAACTAGCTTGGCGTCTCTACACGGTTCCCTAGTGGTAGTAATTCAAGGATTATCCATTGCAGCAGTATAGTCCTTCAATGCTAAGCTTGCGCTGCACCCATTGGACAGAGGACATAATTGTGTGTGTGTGAGAGAGAGAGAATAAGAATTACATTCTGGCTTTCCAGATTGTCCAGCCAATTCCTGCCCCTCTACTGAGTGGAAGTAAAGTAATGCCTTTTGGGGAGCTGAGAAAGTCTTAATAATGGCTGTCGTCCACTCTTGGTTAGAAGTAATAGCGTTAACATCCACTCAGTACCCCAATTCCGAATCAAACCCTATTCTCTCAGTCCACCCACACCTAAACACAGCATATACTCCATTGTTTCTATCTCGCTGTTGCAAATTTGGTCAAGGGCAGAATCTGTGCACTTCCGGGATAAAAAAGAAGAGATTTTCCCTTCAGCCAATGAAATAGAGCACTCTCTCTACCAGAGTATTTTTTATTTTTATTTTATATGGTGCTTTAAGACTCCATATTAGTTGCCAAAAGCTTTTATGGAGATGAAAAGAAAGAACTATGGGGTCATTTCTGCTGCTTCTCTGCATTTAAATCCAAAATCTTGCTATCTTCACCCTGCTGCTAGAAGGGTCTTTTTCTCCTGTTCTGGAACTAGTGGACCAATAACTTTGTGGAGGAGAACTTAGCTACTGTAGTCATCTCGATAACATCAAGAACGAACTTAGCTACTGAACAATGTTGTGGCTTTGTGGAGGAGACATATAATGCCGTGAGGTTATCCACTAATTAGGCCAGAAATTAATACTTTCCCCTGTGCACTGACCACCTTCACCCCCTGGCCAATAATTTACTTCTTTCCAGTAAGCTTGTCCAAGTTCATGATGGACTGGTTCTTGTAGTGGCTTCCATGAAGTCTGGATTAAGGATGTAAACTGCTTTCATTAACCTTACCCAGAGTGAACATGGGTTTTTTGCGAGTGTCAAACATTAGCAAGAAAGTTAAGCTTGGTTAAAAATCTCTAAAGTCCCCTGCTTTTAGCCATCATGACATCTTCCCATCTTGTCCAGTGGATCTAAGTATCCTCAAGGGACCGTCCCCAACAAAGTATTTCAAGTAACTGTTGAATTTTTGCAGAAATATTGGGGAAGAGCAAAGCAAAGCATTGCATATGCAGGGACTTGTTGGACTACGGATGTGATCAATACTCTCTCCCAGCTTGTAACAATAAGATTATTTCCATCAAAAGAGAACCAACATGAACCTCCAACCTTAGGTCATCAAGACTCGAGGAAGTGCTTGTCTTTGTGGTTAATCAGAAACAGTATAAACATATTGTTTAACATCAATCACTCTTTATTCAGTAATCGGTCAATCCAAAACAAAGATAAGAAACAGAAAAGAATTTAATGCAAGAATAAAGAGTGAGGAACTGTGATGAGAAAACATGGAAGACTGATAGTTGAAACTTCAATCTACTTTCCTTTTCTTTTGAAAATTAAACATGACCTCATGAGTTTAGCAGTGGGACACACGTGACATTTTGTAAGATTTGCTTAGTGAATCACTTTTGAGGTCGACTTTGTTTTCCAAAACAATGAAGTTGGACTCTGGAAGTTCATGTATTCTATCAGGCTTTATGAGCTAAACTTTGAGCATAATTGTCACTTGTATCCTTTCTCTTTTACTTTCTCATTTGTACAAGTGACTGGAGAAATGAAGCTTATGCTTGAGCTGGTAGCCTAATAATAAGTTATACACCATTCATTAAATTAGGCATGTGTTCTAAAACTTACACCTTAGCTTTGGTATCAGTTGATGGAGTGACGTTTTTTCCAGGTATTGAGTGACCCAGAGAAGAGGCAAATCTATGATCAGTACGGTGAAGATGGTCTGAAAGACATGCCACCACCTGGTTCTAGCGGCAGTGCTGGATTCCCGAATGGGTTCAATCCACGTAATGCAGAGGATATTTTTGCAGAATTCTTTGGGAGTAGCCCTTTTGGATTTGGGTCAGCTGCAGCTGGCAGGTCCATGAGGTACTCATCAGATGGAGGAGGGTTATTTGGGGGTTTTGGTGGGAGTGAGAATATCTTCCGGACATATGATGGAACTGGTGCTAGCGTGCCAAAGAAACCACCACCAGTTGAGAGTAAATTGCCTTGCACCCTTGAGGAGCTATACTCTGGATCAACGAGGAAAATGAAAATCTCTCGGACAGTGGTTGATGCCAATGGGTATGTGTATTTTTTCTAGTGTTTCTATGTTCATATTTCCTTTCTTTCATGCTCAAATCTTTTTAAACTAGATTTTGCACCAATAATGTTTGAGAAAAGTTGGTATTTTGATGTTTGAAGTGTCTTGTTTTTTTCTCTTATGAGGGCTATGTTAATTCTGGAAATATACGCTTTTGCTAATTTTTTTAAGTCTATCACCATTTGTTTTAATAACCTGTTATCATTTATATTACTTGTTTTCTTGCTTGATATGGTACTGGACCAATTTCCTTGATAATCAAAAAATCATTTTTCTATACTTATTGCTATTGGGTGCCTTCAGTGTTATTAATTGTTTTATATAATTTTCAGTTTATAGTTTTAGCAATCGAAAAATGGTTCATTCATCGGACTGTACTTTTTCAAAGTTCTTGACTACAATTGAAATTCTTATTTTTACCCGGGCATTTTCCCGGTTGCTTCTGGACTTACAGTGATTAGTTGGAAAAACAGTCACTGTTTCTTCTTTTTATTCTCGCCTTATTACAGTCATTTCAGTTGGAGTTTTTTCCCTGGTGTTTCATTTTATGTACAAGGAAAGGGTATGGCATATTGTTTTTCATTCATGCCAGTTTACTTCAAAGAGTGCACAGTGAATAATAAAACACTCTGACCAAGACATCTTTGCCTTCATAGAGACAAATAGACCTCATCGGCCTTTTTCACATTCCACGGTTAATAATGCTGATCTCTTTGCAACATAATGTCAGATGCGCAACTAAACTATATGATTTATTAAGAAAATGTGGTTTTATGTTCTTTAAGTTGCATGTGAGAAGTCGAGAAAGGGGGTTTGAAATTTAACGCTATAATCATCTTGATGGTTGACATGTTACTGCAAGCTCTTTTGTGTGGTGAACTTTCTAGGCATATCTGCTCATCCTTGGTAACATTTTTAAGTTTGCTGAACCATTCTAGGTGAAAATGCAAGAGTAACCTTGACTTTGTTAGACGTGATTTAAGTTTCTGAGCAACTCTGCTAAAGAGAGAGTTTGCATGTTTTGAACTTTTTACCATTAACCGGACAATTATCTGCTTGCTCTGATCTTTCAAGTTAACACCATGGAATGGAATCTTTGAGTTGCTTTTATACTATCATTTCTGCCTCATCTTGAGAGCAGCATATCATACCGTGGCATTTTAACAAAAGCTATCGGGTTTACAAGAAGTTCCTTTTCATCCTTTTGACATTAGTCTATTGAGCATTTAGCTTTCATTTGGTTGCTGTTGTGCTTTGCATGCACCATCTTTCTATGCAATTGGGTATGCGATACTTCCATATGGGGTATTAAGTCTGCTAGTGTGATAAACCGTAACTCTTGACCACTGTGGATTCAGTAACCCTGCACTTGAATATTCAATATTGTATTCTTCTCTTGCTGATCAGACATATAATGGTAAAAATGACAGACGATTAGTTCCAGAAACAGAGATATTATCCATCGATGTGAAGCCTGGGTGGAAGAAGGGAACAAAAATTACCTTCCCAGATAAAGGAAATGAGCAGCTGAACCAGCTTCCTGCAGATCTTGTATTTGTGATTGATGAGAAGCCCCACGATGTTTACCAGAGAGACTGCAATGACCTCATCATGAATTATAGGGTCTCACTAGCAGAGGCACTGGGAGGGACCACTGTGAATCTCATTACGCTAGATGGGCGAAATATGTCAATCCCGGTAACTGACATTGTGAGCCCTAGCTATGAACTTGTGTTGGCCAGGGAGGGCATGCCAATTGCAAAGGAGCGTGGTAATAGGGGCGATTTGAAGATCAGATTTGAAGTTAAGTTTCCTACAAGATTGACAGCGGAGCAACGAACATCGCTCAAGCGTGCTTTAGGGGGTTAATAGTAAAGGCTAAAAAAAAATAACCGAGTGCACGAGACTTCTATCATTGCGTATCGGAAGAGGGTTAGCAAAGTCTCATGACTTATTACAGAATGATGGGCTATTGTATTGGCATACATGCTCTTCTGTAAACAGGGCTATCAGTATTAAGGTCATTAGGATGCCAAAACTATCTTACTATTATTGTTCAACGAACTTAGATCCATTAGACTTATGGGGGTTGTCAAAATAGATGTGATGTTCAAAGTAGAATCTTTTTTTTTTTTTTTTTTTTGGGGGGGGGGGGGTATTACAACACCAAATTACACCATTCATATTCTTCTGTTAAGACTGGGGCAGACATGTTGACCATTGGTTTTCATCATGTATTTATTCACTTGTGGTGTATAGTTTATTGCAGTTCTATTGTTTGATTAGTTCATTTGATGTAGTGGTGAATTATGTAATAAATTTTGTATTAGACAGAGTGATGGCTTCTCAAAATTGAAAGTATGGGGCATCTCTCTCTCTCTCTCTCTCTCATATTTGTGTTGCTCAAATGACCCAAAATATGCAAATAATTAATGCTATTTAGACTTAAACATTTAAAGTAATTTGATGACATAATGATGTAGTTTCATTGTCACTGTTTTTTAGATAAATTTTATTATAACCGTTGAATTAACACTAAATTTTAATGTTTAATGGGCCCACAGTTAATCAAAAAACTATGGTGAATTAGGTCAGTAAATTTTATCAATAAACTATGTCTAAATAACATTACTCAATGCAAGTTGTGACCATTTGATGCCTTTTTTCTTAATTTTTTCCCATCGTTTTATATATATTTATAAGGTTCGAATACTTATGTACGTGTTTTTTGTTTTTATATAAATATGGGAAATTAGGTAAAATTTTTGTAATATTTATAATGTTGAAATACTTACTTGTGTTAGGAGAGCACTAGATGAGTAGATACATAATAAAATTAGGAGTGACTATTTTTAATAACATCTGTCAACTCAACACAATCTGATATATTTATATAGATATAAATTTAATCTACCAAAATAGATTATAATTGAATTATTTGGATAGAATCGGTCAATAAATCAATTGACCCCGATGATGTGTGGAATCGAGAAATGTGAACCGTGAGAGCTGAGTGTGAACAAATTAATAATAAGCAAGACCACAAGGACTTAAATGGTTCACCGAGTTGAAAAAGTAGGCTGGTCCTATGTAATGAAATCTGTTGTTCCTCTAGTTAATATTACTTGGCAATTATACACATACCTTTGCAAGGCAAGAGCTTGTCTATTTATACACTAGACTAGTGTGATCATCAAGTAATCATAGTGTGCTCCCCTCCCTTAGTTTGTCAAAATATTTTGAGGAAACATTTAACTATTGGAGGGTCTATTTTTAGATATGACGTGACATTCTAGAGGTGATGACTTATTCTTTAATGTAGAGGACTTGACTATGGTGTAGCCAAAAAAATTTCGATACCATACCTCCAAAATTTACTATTTCAAATGATATTTTTATAATTTTTGTGGGTCATTTTACAACCAAAATATTAACCAATTTTTTGGTTGATTTACCACTTTAATGGGTATTTTTATCATTATTGTGGGTATTTTTATTACATTTGTAATAACTATTTTTACCATATTTCTTAAGTATAAAAAAAAAATTATTACTTTTGTGACTGATTTACTACATTTATGAGTGTTTTTACAACATTTGTGGATGTTTTTATTACTGTTGTGATCAATATTTTTACCAATTTTTTGAGTATCACAACAATGTTAAAACTATTCACAAATGTGGTAAGTTTTTGAATGATACCCTAAAACTTGTGGAATGTACCTAGTCTACTCCTAATGTAGGATTGATTATTGTAATTCCTCTTCCGTCTTTTCTCCAAATGTAAGTTGAGCTGTATAAGCAGCTACCGAGTTGTATTAGTTACTGTCGAATTGGCTTGTGACTTAGCAGACTTTGACTCTGACAAGTCGGGTCAACCAGGTTAGGATCATGTCAACCAGTCAATCCGTTGGGTTGTGGACTTATTTGGACTACATATTTCAACTTGGCATCATCAAATACACATATGACTTAACAAGATACAAACCAAACTACACAATTTATTCACTATAAATATTAGATTATACACGATTATAATTAAACAAATTTTAATACAACACCACAAAAACCCGATATAATATCCTATAATCCATTAAAGTAAATAAAATGACAAAAAGCTGTGAATGAAACATACTATCCACCCATACCAGAAAGGAACCATTTCTACCTCACGTAATTTAAATTAAAACTCATTGTCAAGGCCTAAAATAAAGAGAGTAATATTAGAGTGACTTCAAAAATAGGATCAAAAGTAAAAGATCAAGTTATGTAAGCTTTAAATTTTAAACTACGTCAGTCTATTTCTTTATTTTATTTTTTTTGTTATTTTTTAATCAATCTAGCATTACTCTTTTTTCGCCTTGTTTTTATGCTTAGTCTAGCATTACTCACAAAAAAACTTAATAGTTATTATATCAAAATAAACTTAGAACCCAAATTACCAAAAACCCATGAAACCAGATTAGATTCCATTGAAAAGCTAAAGATACTTGAAAGAAGATCATCAACACCAACTGGGTACAGAAACTGCACATATCTTTACATGAAAAGAGAAATCAAAAACCCCTACTCCTCTCTCCTGGAGGACCAGCTTGAAGAGCAGGCAAGCCATAGTAGTGCGGCCCTGCACCAGGCTGAGTCTCTAAACTACTACTACTACTAGGTTGCACACCACGGGGACCCGGTGGCTGCACCCATCTAGCACCCTGATGCCAAGAGGGTGCAATATTTTGTGGCCCTTTCAACATATTAGTCGGAAAGGGCTGCATTGACTGCTGAAAGCTGCCATGCATGGATCGTTGTGGCTCAGGCTGCAGCTGGGGTGCTTGTGGCTGCCACTCTGGTATGTCATCGTCCTCATCATCGTTATCGTTCCATGGTTGAATCCCTGGACCAACACCTCTTTTATCCTGCCAGTTACTAGGAGCAACACCGGTACCGGTTTGCCCATACTTGTGTATAAGATCTCTTATTTGGTTTACTGGTCTGGACGAAGCCTGACCATGATGGTTCAAATGAGTCATTCTTGACCCCCGAGAATGGTTTTGGGAAGGAAATTTTGGGGCGGATGGGTTTACATTGCCCGAGAAGTTGAACTCGGGCAAATCATCCTCATCCCGGGCTGCAGCCGGGCCAAACCCAGGAGGAATATCATCATCATCATCATCATCATCATCGCCATCATCATCATCAGGTGGAGGTACAGGATTGGTACGAGGTGGACCAGAAGAAATGGGAACCTTTGACGCTAAGTTTGAATTAACATGGATATCTTTTTCTTGTTCTCCCCTAGATGTGAACTGGTGTTTTTTCGAACCATGTTTATGGTGAGAAGATGAGTTGGGTGAGTGATGTGTGGCACTTAAATGAGCTTTTCTCCATACAACTACACCAATTAGGCCATTATCTGTTGATTTAAGTATCTCTGTGTGGTCTTTGTTCAGGTGCTTGCTGATCATATCAACTATTCTTGTGTGAGGTGGGCAGATATAAAGCTCGGTTCTCGGGATCGCCTCGGCAAAACCCAACCTCTCGTCGGTAACATATGAATTCGCCACCTGAAAGAGAAAATGGCAAAAAATTTGTTTGGTAAGCAATAAAATACATGGGTTAAATGACCTAAGAAAGACGACACAAAAATATGAAAAATAGAAACCTCGCAAAGGGTTGAGTGCTCATTCTCGGAAGATCCTTCTTTCAAAACGAAGTGAACAACCTGCAAAAAGAAAGCAATCTCATCACCATAACTACTCAAACAACCCAAAATTTACATATTGATACATGCAAATATAAGATCAATTATATATATGAATGTATATAATTTGGTTTCCTCTCAAATAACGGAAGATCCTTTGAAACCCAGATCATTTTTCACTTTTTAAAGTATTCTTTATTTCTTTATTCTATCTCCCCAAATATTACAAATTTCCAGGACGAAGTGGTACCCTCTTCTGTTTTCTGGGCATAATATCCTACCCAAAACAACTATCAATGATCGTATTCATATCCTCATCTTGTCAAGAAACACTGGTAATTAGAATACCATGAAGTTCCTTTTAAAGTTGTTCGAGAGGGCTTTGCTGCTATTCACAAAGATATTTAAAAAAAAATAGTTTTGTCTCCGAAGTTCCCACTTTCAAAACCCAAATGATCATCAATTCCAATTCACTGTTGAAGTTTGCTTTGCCAGGTCAAAAATCAAGTTTACTAAAAGGAATTGTCTCCCTTTCCAAAAAGCCAGATTTCGCCAAAAGGATATATTACAACATATTAGAACAAGATGAAGGAATCGCAGCCAGTGTTTCAGGAGTTTGTATCAGTTTGTTTCATCTGATATGAACTGCAAAACTAGCATCATACATCACACTACCAATTTATTACACTGCTCCATATGCCAAAAATTATTCAGAGTCCACGTAGAGAGATTCAGTCGAGCGCCAAAAGGAACAGGAAAATATTTGTGAGTGGCAAAATTCTTGACATTCTTAACTCATCGTTCGTACACAAACAACATGCTCGAGTTCTATAATGGTCATACACTCCCAATGATCTTAAACAACTTTCATTTGCAATAAGTAATAGACTGCTACACTCCCTTAACAGTAGAGAGAGACAAAAGAGGGGAGGATAAATCAGGAGACAGAAATAAACTACAATCAGAAAAAAGGGGACTTGAGATACCATGACTGCACGACTTCGAGACATGGGAAGCTCTTGAAGAAATTTCTCAAACGCATCAAGTCTGACTCTCCCTTTGATCTCAAGAGAACTAGGCCACTCTTTCGTCGATGTTTTCTCACCACTGAAGAAGAGTGAGAGATCAGCAAAAGGCAACAAGCAACATAAAAAAAATGAAAATCTGAATAAATCTTTGTCTAGGCCATCATATTCCAACAAAGATCGTGTCAAGCATCATCTCATTTTCAGCCAACCTGCTATAAATTTTCAGGCAAGATGTGGAGATACCAACAATAACTGGACACACTACCTGTGGTGCTACTTCCATCACATGCATCAGTTCATTTAGTTCATGCTTGAATCTAACTTTCATCAAGGTTCCCATAACTTGCAACCAGATATGTGGTTAGTCTCTCGCCAAAAAGGCTTCGTAAGCATTCATAGAAACAACAGTATATATGGTCTGAATAAATGGCCAGAGAAACTGAGTTCCAGCTTCAACAGGCAAATGAAAACGACTTGTGAGCTGTTTGTAAAAATGCAATAATATCCACGAGAAAAAATTATATGGCAATTGTACCTAACCCTTCCAAAATATCAAGCAGAGACAATGCACAAGCAACTGGCTGAGTATTACAAAATAAGACCTACTTCCAGGCAAGAACTATGAAAAATGAAACTGAAGCTGCAGTCATAGTAACAAGACAATATTAACTAGATCCAATACAAAATAAAGCCAATGAACAAGTAGTATAATGACAGCCTGCAGCAAGGAAACACTTGCAATGATTTTAGATTTTAACACAGAAAATACGCACCTTCTAAATAAGCCAATGACATTGACCAGGGTCGAGATATTCAGCTGAATTGCACCTTCCCAGACATGTTCAGCCATTGATGTGCTACCAGGAGGTAACCTTTTTTGTTCGACAGGAGCCTCACTGGATTTCACATCCACAGCTACTTCAGTGTGCTTCAAATCCACTGCTAATTCAGTGCGTTTCACATCCACTTTATCAGCCTTTTCTTTAGTAGTATCCACATGGCCTTTGGAAGCTAGATCTGAAGCCCCCAATTCGTTGCCAATTTTCAATTTTTCCTTGTCTAACAGAGGTGTCGTCCGTCCAGCATCAACAGGTAAATTTTCAAAAGGAGGTTCAGAATTAAGGGATTCCATAAATTCATCTAAGGAGACAATTGGTGGAAGAAATTCCGCATCCTTCAATTCATCCACAATCATCCCTTGCATTAAATCCGTCCCATCATTCGGAATAATAAGGCTGCATGAAAAATCCTCGTTTTCTAACCTACTCTTCTCAGCTATGACGTTCTCTTTGTTTCTAGTTTCATCAGTTTCAGAAGGGGAGTGAGCCACAGTCACCTTTTTCCTAGGTGGCCTTTTAGTGAGTGAAGAAGTCTGTGTGGAAACCTCCACCGAGACGCTGTCATCTTGTTCGACTTCTATTTGATAATCACCCTTGTGTGTTTTCTTCACCAACCGCCTGACATCAATGTCCGAATCAGGCAAGACTATCATTTGGGCAAGCTCTTCTGCTTTTGCCATTCGCCACTGAGATAGCTCCTCCGAAGCAAGCTCTTCCGCTGTCATTGAACACAATCGCTCTGGGGAAATCTCACCAGCCATGACTCTTTCTCTCAGTTCTGGATTATTGCGATCTTTTAGATTGAACAACAGGGACCTACCCTTCTCTTTGTACTTCTTATTCACACCTCCAAATAATTTGAAGAGTTCCATTTCAATTTTGAAGGCCAAGTTTTCAGGAGATTGCATGGACTGCTTGGCCTCATCTCCACCAACATCCTCAACAACTGACATAGGTTTTTCAGCAGTTGGAACTTCCCCTGCTTTAGGCACCTGTGTATCAAATTCAAATGCCCAAGAAAGCCCATTCCCCTGCAAAAGATCATCTTTGACAAAGAAATTGTCACTAAATGAAGCATCAGGCAAAACACAATTGTACTGGAACTCTCGCCCATCACATCTATAGATTTCAGTAGTAGAACCTTCCACAGATGTGCTTTGGACATCATTCGGTCTATCAGGCCCGCAAGATTCTGTGGCGCGCAAGGTATTCATTGCGTTTTCAGATACATGGTCAACAGCAACAGCAGGATAGGAAGTGAATTCCGAAGGCTGAGAAGTCTCCTGTGTCCGCCGTGGGGTTAAGGCTGCTTCACCTTGAGCATTTTTTCCTTCCTTTGGAGATATATCTTCTTGGTGCTGACTAGCCAAGGCCAATGCAGCAGCCAATGATTCCCTCATCTTGGACCTTACTGCTTCAAATGACTCAGTCTGGACTTTGGGAGATAGTTCCATTTGTGCTGATCGGTTCTTTGGGGTCTGTACCCGCTGAGAACCAGATTTACTTGAAATTGATTCATTTCGAACCATTCTCTTGTTTGTTGCAGGCAAATTTTGCACCGGTGTACTGGAAATGGATTGCATAGGCACAGCTTTTTTGCTCGGTACATGTATTTGCGCCAACCCAGGTGAATGGGGTGAATTTAACATTTGTGTTGAACGTTTGTTTGGCATTGATGGATGCAGGTGCATGGGAATATTCAGCATAGGTTCCATCTCAGCCTTTCGCTTAGTTGGTACTAGCAGCTTTTGTGAACCAGAATTATTCAACATGACTCCCATCTCCCCAACTTGCTGGTTTGGTGTTAAGAACTGTTGTGACCCCAGATTTACCACCTCGGGTTTCATCTGTTGCCACATTTGCTTGCTCAACACTGTTATGTTCTGCGACCCAGGATTATTGGACATTGGTTCCACCAACCCAATTTGTTGTTCGGATCCTGCAACCTGAAGTGACGCAGGATGACCAGAAACAAGTTCCATCCTTCGCATATTTAGTATTGACGAATCCAGGTTGTCAGAAACAGCTTCAATCTGACCCATTTGCCCATATGGTATTGATAAATGCTGCGACACAAGATTGTTGGACATGCTACACTAGCACTAGAAACAAGCAGGTACAACTGCAATTAAGGTTTGAAACATAGTGTGATCCAAAGCATGGAATTGCACTGCAACTCCATGTCATCAATAGGACAGAAGTGTGAATCTCTGCAATCAAAAACCAATGAAAAATAGAACTCGTGAGTATGTTACACATATCCAATATGCAAAAAGTGATCTAAAAATTGAACTATTCAAAGATGACATATCATAACAAACAAAAATTAAGTATTTGATAATATAAGAGCAGAAAATAGTAAGTTTAAAACTAGTTCCCCTCTAGCCAGAAACCTGCCATGCAACCTAAAAATTCAAACATGAGAGAAATATAGCATTGTTATCAGGCATATATTTTTCTATCATAATTCCCATGCAAATCAATTATGTAGACTTATATGTGTAGGTCTATTAGATTTTTTACAATTCTTTTGTTTCTATATACTGAGGGCCGCATACTCAACAACTGATACTGTGTAAGGTGTTGCAACAAGATCCTCACTATTGTACCAACAATCCACAACCAAAACTTCTTAACAACATCCTGGCTGCTGTATAGACAGCCTACAGCCAGGGACCCTTACACATGGAAGAGGGAGGAAGAAAAGAAAGTTTTTTTTTTGTGTGTATGTCTGGTGGGTTTGTTGTTTGGGAAGGAGGGGGGGAGGGGAACTTATGAGATATTTATGATAATTGGGACAATGATTATAGATGAATAGTTGAAAACCCAAGAACGGAGAATGGAATGCACAGAGGTGAAAGAATACAGAAGCAAAGAAAGAGTTTCATGACCAGATCTACGATGGAAACAGGATATAGTGAAGTGCAGCATGACTAAATTATCTGCACACCGAGAACCAAGCAAGTAAAAGGCAGGTAACAGAAAAATACATTGCCTTATAATGCAGGAAGATGCCATCATAAGACCAATATTTTACCCAAGAAGAAAAAATTACTAGTTTTGGATTCTCCATGAATGACATTCACCGAATTGGTACTCTGTCTAATTCCCTACAAGCTTCACTTCAAGTCAACTATGATAGCTTAGCCCTCTCATTTTTACTACACTCCGAAAGAAGAGAACAAAAGGAGAAGAGAACTTCGTTTATTGGTAACTCTCTAGAAGTCATGTTTAACCTTTGACCAGTCCATATTTAGGAATAGTTAATCTAGCTTGATTTTCTATACAATCAAGGGGGGGAAACAGCCAAGGATTTCCCCCTTGAGAAAAGGAAAAAAAGAAAGAGAAATCGAAAAGGGAAAAACAAGTTAACCACTGGAGACTAGTTGTCTTTGAAGTTTGAATCAAACTAAAGCTTCGAACTACCTGAACCAAGTCAAATTCAAAAAACTTCTGGTAAATAAATTCACCTGAAAAAAATCTAAATTTGATTTGGTGCGTATTGTTGGAAGCAAAATTTGCTGACTTGTAAGCAAGAAGATGCTCCCATCAAAAAATTCAAAATTCATTGAAGAATCAGCGCATTGAGCATGATATTTCTCAAAGATGCCAGCTAATGTGCCCATGCCAAGCTCAAACAATACCCCACAGCACATACAAGCATTAGCTCATTTAGTCTGTCTAATCTTGCTTCTCTTCTTATTTGAAACTTATCATTGACAAAATATTAAACATGCCAAGTTGACCAAGCAGGAAACGATTGGCTTTTGAATCTGGAAAAATCTACAGCAATGCAATTCCTTTCCCTCAAAACTAAAGGAAATATTTAAAGGAGTATGTCTTTCTTACAAATTTAAACCAATTCAAAGTTCACGGCCTTAATACAACACTGAGCCACAAAGAAAATCTTGAGAATGTCAAAAATATCAACTCACAACTTAGACTTTGAAGAATGAATATCCACACATATTTACTAATTGTCCAAAAAATAGGTGAACCAGAAAGTCCTTTCCACATTGTCAATTCGTTTATTCCTAATGCATCACTCGTTAAGCACTTGGGCATTCTGGAAAAACCTCCAGAAAGGGAACTTAGCAGCCCAATCAGGTGGCTATCAGCCCGAACCAACAATCATCTGCAACAAACAATACCGAATTTTGTTATATTTCTTAAGTCCAGTGAGAAATTTGAGGCCCCTATAACCTTAAACAGATGAAACAATGGGCCAAGTACCGTGAGTTAAATGAAAGTAACAACCAAAAATGGTAGTCCGAAGCCTTGTGTCTAGGAAAAAACAGTGTCATTAAAGGTGCGCTTAGGCCCACCCCTAGGCCCAAGGGGCAACACGTCCCAATTGTCACATTTTGCCAAAACTAGGCAAGGCCACGTCAATAAGGTGCTTAGCCCAGGTCACCTATCACAATTCAGTAAAAAGTTATTTGTTTTGTCTTTTTTCTCAAAACATATTATAAAACCTAACCTGACCCAACTCAATTCCAAAAGAATGTGTCCTAGGAGTCGCCTCTTCACCCTCCCTGTTTTTCCTCAAGTAATTCAAGTGTCATACTTGTCTTAATTATTTGGACTCAACTGCTTGTTTTGGCGTGTTTTGATAAGTCATATAGCTCTATTCTTGTGAATAACTGAACTAGTTTTGTAAAATTGCTGGTTGAATTGCTTTATATTGTCATAGTTCATATGTATTGTTATTGCATAAATTGAAAGATTGAGAAGAGCTTTGTCTCTGTGATAAAAAGTTTCATTTCTCTGAATAAAGGCAGATTCAATAAATGCATGTGTTTATGAAATAAGACTTTGTTTGGAATATTTGGAAAGTTTCATTTACCTAAATTAAGGCAGTGTCAATAAATGCATTTGTTTATGAGAAATGAATCTCTGTTTATCAAAATCAACCTCTATTTGGAATATTTGGAAACTTGGATATTTTACATTGTTCGCATCTTTTGATTATTTGCTTAAATTTTGTGTTTTTTGATGTTACATCATGTTTTGAAAAATCAGTTGCACGTTATGTATAACTTGTGCCTCACTTTGATGAGGCCTGAACCTCACCTTAGCGCGCCTTAAATAAGGGAAACCTATCTCAAAATTTTCAAATTAGCCATAACCCTGAGTTTATGCATTTCAACTAGTGGTTCGGGTAAAGATACATTCATAAGTCCAACATACAGTATATGAATGAGGTGGTTCTGGTGAAAGACTGCCTTGTCAATTTGCAGAACCATAGATGGTCTATTTGCCAACTTTCTTTACAAAGTACAAATGCATAAGAAAGGAACTGAGGCGCAATTTTCACTTGGATGTTCTAAGACGTGTGTCTTACTTATCAGCAGAAATATTCACAACTCAGAAAATATTTTACATCCTAACGACAAGTACTACTGAAAGGACTAAGGTCTGCCATTCAATATAAAATTGAAAACTCATTCAATATCCAATTCCAATAAATGTAAGAACAAAACATCTCATTTATAGCTGTTATCATTTAGGCACCCTCTAGGGTGTATTTGGGAGGGCCAATTATTGGTCGAGCTAAGAAGCCAAAATTAAAGCAAATCAATGAGACAATGACAGTACTTGAAGATATACGACCATATATTTTCAAAAATGTCTTACTAAAGACCAGCACCCATATAATAGAAAACAGATCTATTACGTAATTAGCCAAGGTCAACATAAAGCACTTCCAAAAAAAAAGCTACCCAATCAAAAGTACAACAAAGATTTCTTTTGACAAGCCCTCCATCCATGTAATTATTAACAAGAAGATTAGCATGTGGACTTAATAAAAGCACTAATTACTAAAAAAATCTTGGCTTCATTAACATGTACTTGAATCAATACAATACCGAGTTCTAAAAATAAAATCTCATTTCTCAGAAATCAAACCAAATTAACCATTCATAATTGAGACATTTATAGATAAAAAAAATCTTCATAGTCAGACAATATTAAGATATTTAACTACAACATCCACAAAGGGCGCTAATTTCCCCGCCAAATCATACCATAAAACACTGCGACGGAACCCTAATTTCCGATTTACCAGAAGGGCTATACATTCAAGACGAAAACATTGATTCGTTTATGTACTCCAAACACACGTGTACATAGATATGAATGAATAGACATATACATAGAGAGAGAGCGAAAAAATTACCTAAGCAAAGAAGGAGATGCGAAATAGGGAATAAATATAGATAGATAGATCGAGAGAGAGTGGAGTTGAAAGTGCTCTCAGAAGTGAGACGAGAGATAGAGAGAGAGAGAGAGAAGGTGGCTGCGATTGGGTTTATCTGCTAACGAGAGAAGCCCTAGAAAAATACATTTGACTCTGAGCTTCGACGGGGCGGTTCAGGTTGAGCGTGACCTTCGATTGCCACGTTGCACTTCTTTTTGGATCAGAAGTGGACCAAGTCATAGTGGGACCCACTCACTTGTATTGGATTATGATGAGATTAACCTGAGCCCTTGGATTTGAAGACTTTCTTTTTCATATTTTTCTCTTTTTTCCATCCTGAAATCATCTAATAATCATTCTAACAATAATTATATTTCCACATAATTTACTAAAAATAATCCATCAAAAATTATGGGATTAGTTACGGGCTCAAATAAATAATAGAAGAATTCTTTGGAAGTTGATACACCTAATTAGACTTATTTGACAAAAAGTACATAGAACAAAATGTGAGTTACAAAGACATAAATATTTATTTTAGTATCATTTAATTCAAAGTCTTTTATCTTTAATGCACATTGATTCATGTGTATTTGTTAATATATATATATATACATATACGTATAAATAAGTATATATACTAATATATATTATCTTTAATGCACCTTAATTTTTGCGTTTTTTTTTTTTTTGAAAAGTAATTTTGTTTTCAAATTATATTTAATGCACCTTGATTCAAGCATTTTTTTTTTTTGGAAATGGTTTTTTTTCAAAATTAATTTAACATCTGAATAATGTAATAGTGTAACAAAGACAGTGTAACAAATATACTGTAACAAAAACAGTGTTCAGTAGTTTTGTGTATGTGATAACAAATTCAAAAAACAGATGGACTATTTTGAATGAAATTATATAAAACTATATATTTGACAAAATAGGAAAACATAAATAATTGATTTTTGAAGTATAAAGATTTTTTAATTAAAAAAATTGTTAAAATGCATTACTCAAATCGCCAGAAGAAGACTGTTGTTTATGTATATAATAATCATAAAAAAGTAAAAGATCATTGCATCGAGTCCCTGGAGGTTGCGATAGATACCTTGTAACTACAAGTCTACAGCCCGGTATTTCAGTCGATTAAACCCACACATAGTCCAAACCAGAAAAATGTATCGTAGATAGTTCCCAAGACCACAACCTGCAACTTCATGTGAATTCATACTGCCAAACTTATATATATATATATATTGATGGGACATTTCCAGAATACTCCAAGATGAAGACATGTGTCCTCAGTGTCACTAATCATTGTTATCGAGATCACGTACCCATCGGGTCACAAGTCCCCTCTACCCCGAGGTACTTATCATGGATCGAGTGTCACCCAGTACGTTTTTATGTACCGACACGTACCCTCGGTCTGATATGGTACATCGGTCGCTAGGCCTCCCCCTCTCGAATTCAAGATGTACCTATTCCTCGGTTCCGAGATGTACCTCTTCCTCGGCTCCGAGATGTACCTCTTCCCCGACTCTGAGATGTACCTCTTTCTCGGTACCTAGATGTACCCCTCTCATCCAGGATGAAGTTCTCTGCTCCAGCAGAAGCTATTGATGCACTGGTCACTAGCCTAAGCTAGGCTAGGTTAGCTATCATGACCTCGTCTTACACAATTGGTGTCAGAAGACACAGGAAGGCAGGGGCCACAGCCAATGAGGAATGGACGCGTGGCATATTGTGTCACATCAGAGACAGAAAGACCGCATGACCTTGCTGACATGCGACTTAGGAAAACAAGCATTTAATTACACCATTCCCTTGATGAGTCTGCATTCAATGCGGTAAGGCTCAGAAGTGAAAGACAATAAATGTCTCTAAGGCTGGGCATTTATTGCATCCTCCCCGAGAGGAGCTCATTGAACCGTCGGCAGGCCGATGACACAGTCTTGATTGTTCGGGGTCCCGAGCAGTTAAGAGAGAAGACATTCCTCATAGGAATCAGTGCGCACGTTGCCTGTATCTAATGATCACCTACTGACCACACTGACAGCAATCATGAGTATTTGAGGTATAAATACTCCTCACTAAAGGCAAGGAAAAGGAGGTGAAACTTTTGCTACAAACTATACTTACTGTTTTCTTCTTCCTCTCCCTCAAAAACTGACTTGATCGTCGGAGGGGATACGCCGGAAAACACTCCGGCGCCCTTCTAACTTGTTCTTCTTTGTTCTAGGAACCTTTCTTCAGCCTTACTGGATCGTTCCTTTGATCCACAAGGATCACCCATTACCGTTCCAGGTTACCACCGGATCTCACAGGCTGTTCCAAGCAGCGTGGTTGACCACTCAATTGACTGACTCACTCGAGTTCACCAAGGGAGAGATCTGTTCTCGTTTTTATATTGTGCAAGATCTAGCACGCACAATCTGGCGCCGTCTGTGGAAAACGACTAGTTTTCCTAGTTTTTTCTCTATAAAGAACAGTGACCATGGTGAACACTCGACAAAAAAGGAAAGGTCCCTACCAAAGAAGTCTCGAATTACAAGCTCCTTGTCACCATGAAGGGAGGGATCACACTGATGGGAATAAAAATGTCTCTACTCAGTCAAGAGGGGTTACCCCTCAAACCAGTATGGGAATCAGGTCAAGAGGATCAGCCCCCTTGGCTCGTCAGCTGGCGGAGGTGATCGAAAAAAAGTTTGGCGATAGATTACGACAGCTGGAAAAGGACAATATAAACGTCCTAAGCCGGCTCAACGAATTTGCCGCCTCCGGCGAAGGGTCGAGGGACTCATTCCTTTCTTGTGGGTTCCCCACCCGGGAGGCGGAAACGAAGGATCTAAGGAATCATTTAAACAACAAGGTAGAAAGCTCCAAGGCCCCAAAGCGACCGAGAGCCAACGAGCACCCTCCTAACGACCATTCAAGGAAGGCAAGGCCATTAGCCCTGGATGACCTCCGGCGAGGATTGTCTAGACGAAGGAAGGGAGATGAGTCCGAGGAGGACTCTACCCTATCCACACGGCGCCCAGGAAATGGGGGGCCTGTTGATGAACTCAAAGACTTCAGAAGACATCCCGTCAGGGAGAAAATTGATCTCAGAGCCCGGTTGAAATCTAGGAGAAAGAGTAAGGCTGTCTAGGATGAGGTCGAAGACGAGGTCATACAAACACTCTTTACCAGGGAGATCGAAGAGATGGAGGTTTCAAGAAAGTTTGTCGTGCCGAGGTTCAAAACTTATGACGGGCGGTCCGATCCCGAAGCCCATATCAGGCAATACAAGCAGATGATGTCCCTCTATCATTCGGACCAACGGTTCCTCTGCCGAGTGTTTCCTATGAGCTTGGGGGACTCTGCGATGAAGTGGTTCGAGGCGCTTCCCCTCAACAGTATTGGATCGTGGAAGGAATTGACGAGGCAGTTCCTGGCTCGATTCATTATGGGGAGTAGGCGGCCCAAAGACGTTGGATCATTGCTAACGCTCAGACGTAGGGAATCCGAGACCCTTTGTCAGTATGTCATCCGATACTGGGAAGAGGTTAATGAGGTAGAAGGCTGCTCAGAAGTCATGGCAGCGGCGTCTTTCAGGCTCGGCTTGGCGAAGGACACGGACTTGTACCGATCCCTGACTAAGAAGACTCCCTCGGATATGGGCGAGCTCATGGCCCAGATAAACAAGTACTCAAGGATCGAGGACAAGATGGGAAGCAACAAAGGCCGAACCCTCCAATCTAAGAGAAAAGAGAGGGAGCAGGAGGATACTCCCCGAAAGGGATTGCTACCCCCTCCAGGGGGTTTGTCCAAAGGGGTTCATACTATGTTCAAGGAACCCATCTTCAAGTTGCTCCATAAAATCAAGCATGAGTCATTCTTCAAGTGCCCGCCCAGGATACAGAGCGATCCCTCCACCCGTGATCAAAAGGTTAGGTGTTCCTATCACCGGGATTTCGGACATCGCACCGAAAGCTGCAGGGTATACAAATTGTTCTTGGAAAAATTGGTCCGAGACGGATACTTGAAAGAATACATAGAGCCCAGGCCAGAAGAGAGAAACACCCTTGCCCCGACCGAGGAGTCGGACAATGTCATAGATGTCATCCATGTATGTCCCCTAGATCGCCCCACGTCCAAGGAACTCGAGTCCGACCTTAAGAGGGTAGCTTTTACAAGGAAGGTAGCCGAGGATGATGGGGGCCACCCAGTAAAAGGGCCAGAACTGGTGAGTCCAGCATCACGTTCTCCGACGCGAACTTGACAGGCGTAGTGACTCCTCATAACGACGCCCTTGTCATAACCCTGAAGATAGGTAAATTCGACGAAAAAATGGGTGTTGATAGACTCTGGAAGTTCCTCGGAAGTGATGAACTCCGAGACTTTAAAACGGATGGGTCTTGGCCTCAAGGACCTCACCAAGGTCAGGACACCCCTCATCGGATTCAACGGCTCGTTCGCCCTGCCCGTAGGCAAAATCACATTGCCGGTTGTCACGGGTCCCTTCATCATCAACACTGAGTTTGTCGTGATTGATACGGACTCTCCCTACAACGTGATCATGGGGTAAACATGGATGCATGCGTTGGGAGCGGTGCACTCCACTTACCACCAGAAACTAAAATTTGCCACGCCAGAAGGTATCATGGAGATCCGAGGGGACTAAGCGTCCGCAAAAAATTGTTTTTATTCAGCTGTTAGAGCCGGGGCATTCACCCAAGAAAAGTGGCGAGTCCCGGAAGAGATCATGGAGAAATAGCAATTACAGTCGGGGCATCCAGGAATGGATGACCCCTGGATAGACCCAATTGAGCGGTCAGTGAAGGACCTCCGGAAGGTGCCCTTGGTGGAGGGAGAAGAATAAAGATATTTCTTAGTTGAGACCGCGATGCCCGCAGCCGAATAGGAGGAGATGCAGATGTGTTCGCTTGGAACACAATAGAAATGACGGGGGTAGACCCCGAGATAATCACGCACAAACTGCATGTTGACCCGGCGCACAAGCCAGTCAAATAGAAGCCACGATGCATGGCCCCGCATCATGCCTACGCGGTCAGCGAAGAAATCGACAAACTTCTGAAGGCCAACGCCATTCGAGAGATATAGTTCCCAGAATGGCTGTCTAACACAATTTGCGCGAAGAAGAAGGAGGGAAAATGG